CCCCAACTGTATCAAGCTCCCCCTCTCTCCTCCCCAATTGCATTGCCCTCCGGGAGGCGTTTTACTTTGGGGGGGGCACATCCGTTTGTCCCTCCTGCTGGACGAGGAAGGGGGATTTCCCTGCTCCCATAGGACCCTCGCACGGTGCCCACAATGGGGAGGGGCCCTGGGGCGAGCGGGACAGGAATGGGGGGTGGGCGAACGAGCATCCCCGGCTGCACTTGACTTTTACCCACGTTGCCGCTCTCTCCCTCCTCTCCGTGTCCCCCCGTGTGTGTCCCCCGTGTCCCCACCGTGTCCCCGTGGATGTCCCCCCTCCGTACGTCCCCCGTCTGCCCCCCCCCAGCCATGCAGCAGGTCCTGGACAACCTGATGGGGCTCCCGGGGTCCCCGGGGGTGGCCGACCTTGACCTCATCTTCCTGCGGGGCATCATGGAGAGCCCCATCGTCCGCTCCCTGGCCAAGGTACCGCGGCACGGGGGGCACCGTGCCCCGCCCCGGGACCCCCAGACTGTGTGGGGGGTGATCCACATGTGTGTGCATGCGTGTGTCGGTATGTCCATGCATGCAAGCGTGTGTGCATGCAGGGGTGTGTGCTGGTACGTGTGTGTGTGCATGTGGGGAGGTATCTGTGCATACTTGCACATATGTGTGTACACATGCACATGTATGAGTGCTTGTACATGTGTGCGGATGGATGCTTGCACATGTGTGCGTGCATGCAGGGAGGGGTCTGTGCATGTTTGCACACACATGTGTACACTTCCACATGTATGTGTGCTTGCAAATGCATGTGGATGGATGCTTGCACGTGTGTGTGCATGCATGTGTGTGCACTTGCACGTGTGTGCATGCATGGATCTGTGCTTGCACATGTGTGTGCATATGTAGGTGTGTGCTCATATGTGTGTGCGTACACCTCCACAGGTATGTGTGCTTGTACGTGCATGCGGGTGGGCACTTGCACAGGTGTCCCTAATCCATCCTTCCCCCAAGGAATCCCTAATCCCCTCTGTCCCAGGAATCCCTAACCCCTCCCAGGGATCCCTAACACCCTGTCCCCTCCCGGGGGCTCCTGTCTCCCTGGGGGGTCCCTAACACCCCCCCCCCCCCCCCGACCCCTGGGGGACTGTATTCCCTCCGGGGGTCCCTAAACCTCCTGTGCCCTCCAAGGGTCCTTAATCCTCCCTGCTCCTGGGGGTCCCTAACACCCTGTCCTCCCGTAGAAGACCCTGTCCCCTCTCGGGGGTCTCTAAACCTCCCCCCCGGTGTTCCATAAGCTCCTGAGACCCTGGGGGTCCCTAATCCCCCAAGCCTCTGGGGCTCCCTAACCCTTCCGAGACTTCCCAACCTCCCTGATCCCCTGGGGGTCTCTAACCCCCTGGGCGTTCCCTAACCCCCCTACCCCCTCCGGGGGTCTCCCCGTGGTGCCCCCCAGGCGCACGAGCGGCTGGAGGAGCGGAAGCTGGAGGCGGTTCGCGGGGACAACCTGGCGCTGGTACAGGAGATCCTGCGGGACATCGGGCGGCTGGCGCGGCCCGACGGGCAGGGGGCGGCGGCCGAGCTGGCCCGGATCCTGCGGGAACCGCACTTCCAGGTGCGGGGGGCACGCGCGGGACACGTGTGGGACACTTCTGTGCTGGGGGGTGTGGGACAAGTGTGTGCTGGGGGTGTGACACAGGTGGGATCCCCCTCCTGTGCTAGATCCCCCTCCTGTCCTGTGTGACACGTGTGTGTGCTGGGGAGCGTGTGACAAATGTGTGTGCTGGGGAGCGTG